CTCCATGTCTGCGCAGAAAGGGGCAGCAGGGGAGGATGGCCATCCTGCCCTTGCTCTTCCCCTCTGGGACTCAGGTATGGGAGCCCAGGGACAGAAGTCCGGCTGTGCAAAGCCTGCCACTCCTGGGGTCAAGGGCAGGGAGTAGTGCCTCACTGGGCCTTATCAGCACCCTCTTCCCCCAGGGCACGAAGCAGCCTTACCCAAACACCTAACCCAACACAGTCCATTTAGGAAAACTGAGAGTCAGGTTGGAGGTGCTCCCGCTGGGCTAGAGAGCACTGCTTCTCTATCCTTTTTCTTATTTTATCAAGGATATATCATCAACCCTTGTTGATATACAGCAACACGAATTTAATCTCACTGGGTGTGTCTGGGTTTTCTTGTGAACAGAATAAATTTAGGGTATCAGTAAACGGAGGACAGGATTGCCCGTGCACTTTCTCTCTCCTTTTCTTTTCCCTTGTTTTACTGCAAACAGGCAGTTTATCACATACTCCACAGAATACGAGTTACTGTCTGTACCCGGGAGTTATGAATTCCAGTCAGAGGGCTCTCATGTTTGAGGGGCTCAAAGGTTAGAGAGTTTGAACTGTGCAGGGGTCTATCTCCTTCACCCCATGTTGTTTAGGGGGCAACTCTATCTTTGATTTTATTACTCAGCAGCTCAGCACTATTTCCTAAACATTCACTGTTTCCTAAATCTGATTTACTTCCTGCCACTGATTTAATGAATTCTATCATTTATCCTTGCCATCATAAAGCTTCCAGCCTATGCTGTAGATGCCGCAATGTTTCATCACCTTCCTCGGTTTCCCCAGCCATCATCTATGAGTGAGCTCAGGAGTCAGTTATCCAGCCAAGCCCCTGATAACTCCCCACCTTACATCACTTACATCACGTCCCCATTTTTCATGATTCTTCGAGTCAGCACCTATGCTAGCTCCACTTTTATTTTCTTGCCTGTTCTTGATCAGCACTGTCAGCACTGTCCTCCCATTGTTCATCGATTTGCTCGAGCAGGCCCAGTAACGTCTCCATTGTGAGACCTGTTGTTACTGTGTTTGGCATATCAAATACATTACGGATAGCTAGCCAGGCTTTGCCATGTGGGTGAGACACTGTGAGTAGCTTGCCAGGCTCTCCGAGAGGGGCTGAGGAATCAAACAAGGGTTGGCCTGGTCGGCCGCTTGCAAGACAAACGCCCTACCCTCTGTGCTATTGCTCCAGCCCTGCCTGTTCTTGATGTTATTCTAAAAAAATGTTTTTTTTAATTTTGGTTTGGGGGCGCAACATCTGCTAGTGCTCCAGGACTCCTCCCAAGTCTCACTATCCCTGAGGGTCACTCCTAACAGTGCTCGGGGCACCAGGGACTCCTGAATGAAAAGCACATGGTGCTCAGCTCATGAGCTTTCTCCATCTCCCCTGAACTGCAAATGTATTTTACTTGATCTCCTCCCCTCAAAAAACACATCGAAACCTTAATTACCTCATATGTAACTTTAGGAAGACATTGTCATGTGATTGTCCTTTCACCTTGACCTGTTATTGTTTAACTCTCATCTTGAAGTATTATTCTACAATTAATTTTTATTTCAATGATCATTTTAAAACTTTCTTCTTTTCCTTTTGAAAATAGTATTTCTTACCATATAAGCTATTGTTATAAAAATTTAACGAAATAGCACATGGAAACTACAAAGCACAAAGTCTGGCAAATTGAACATGAAGCACACAATAAACGGTAGATTTGGGTTGCGCATTCAAGATCAACTTAACATTTTTCTTTCCCTTCCCTTGACTCATTACATCCGTCAGGTGCTGGCCTTGCATGTCTGCTTACCAGGGGTCACACTCCTTTAGCTGGGTCATCACACTACTTGCAGGAGGACATGCACCTAGGAACTCCCCCCCCCACCCCCCTCGCCGAAATTCAAAACACTCTTGCCCCTTGCTGGGTGCAGGACACTGATGAGACAGAACCAGGCCGGGGCTTTCCTTGGGACACACAGGCAGCCGTCTTTGCTTAAGGAGCAGCCGTAGGCTCTGCACTCTGCCTACGGTCCCCTGGGTGAAAGGAGGGACAGCCAGCACCATCAGAAGGCAGAGTGGGGTCGGTGTTCCTGAGCGTGTCTGTGGACACGCTGCCTTCTCCTCACAAAGGCAGGTCCTCCAACTTGCTCGGTGCTGGAGCAGGGCCGAAATCAAGGTACACGGTAAAATGTTCTGTGTTTCCTTCTTGAGTTCCTCGAATCCTAAGGTGGCTTCTGTGTTAACGCAGCCCTGTCCACCAGGACTTGTCTCTGGGGGCCACCTTTCACTGGGGTCAATGCCCAGGAGTTAGGGGAGCAGGAGATTCTATGCAAAACTTAGATACCATGATTATCGGAGCAAGACTGAGTGGAGGAGGGAAGAAGATCTAGCAGAAATCTAACCAGTGGTTTCTGGGTGCTCTGAGAATACAGCCCACACGTGAAAGAAGCCCAGTGGGCAAATACTTCTCTACTTTGTGAGCCAACCTACTCCTGGATACATATGTGCTAATAAAAATATGCCATATGTGGAAAGCATGACTTCCGAATTTTCCCTGATAAAGGAACGCTGACTTCCCCGAGATAGACATAATTGCTCCCCTCTTGGATGGAAACGAAACTCAAGTATGTGGTCTTGATTATCACAGTGGAAGAGAGAACTGACAGATTTGAAACCTCCTACTTCTGCCAAGAGGATTGCACTTTTTCTTTCCCTTCTTCCATTAAAAAAATATCATTTTTTCCGTTTGCTTTTCCAGCTGATGAAGAGATAAAAGTGGCACTGAGATTTCCAAGACCACTTGGCAGGAGAGGTCTGATGAAAGGGTTGAATATTTTAAAGATTGGTTTGGGCACATTCTTATGAAACAGGAAGAGGAAAAATAAAAGGACCGTGTCTGTCAATTCACAGATTAGAGACACGTCCAACCTGCGGGCGTGTGGCCATCCCTGGCGCTTTTTCTTCTCCATCTCTCCAGATCAGCCAGTGGGTGGCCAATCCCAAAGGCACTGGGCCTCCATCGGGTCTTAGCCTGTGTCCGGAAAGGGGATCGGGGGCCTAGATTCAGAAATGACAAATACACGCCAAAGGAACTGCTTGGATCACATTTTCACCACAGTGGTGTTAATCTCGATTCTCATCTTCACAGTCTCATCTTGATGGTATGTTTTTATGGTTTTGAAAGGACATATGTTTTCTCAGTGCCAAGTATGTTCAAATGCTTCTTTTCCAGAATACGCTATGGACATTAAAAACATCAAGATTTTTATGTCAAATGCATTTTTCCCACATGCCATGTTTTACAAAGAGGTTTCCTAGTAGCTAACAATGGAAACTCCAAGTTAATTTACCATCAAGGGGATTCATGGGGAAAGCTGCAGAAGGAAGCTTAGAAAGTAGTCATGAAAGGAAGGACAGTGACAGAGGACTCAGCCAAGGCCAGACCACTTGAATATTCTAGAAAAAAACACTTCCTCTGCTCAGGAGACCCACAAGAACTACCTCTCCAGATGCACCTCACTTCTGTTCACTGTGGAAGTCTTTCTCTTCACAACTCTGCTTCACTCCCACACACTCAACATTCAGGTGCAAGTTTCTAAAATTGTCAAGCAGAGATGCCATGTCACACCTGAGCTCTTTGGGGTCAGAGGCAGATATTCGTTTTTTTCCTTTTCTTTTCCATTTGGTTTTGGGCCACTACTGGAGATAGATGCCCAGGGCTCACTCTTGGAAGGCCCAGGAGACCATATGGAGTGCTGGGGATCAAATCCAGGTCAGCTGCATGCAAGGCAAGTGCCCTCCCTGCTCCAATGCCCCAGAGATGGATATTCTATGGTGCACTTCAACCTTTGTAGATTAACAGAAAGGAATTGTCCCTAAATAAAGTCAGTTAACGAGGAGCCAACAATTTATATATGAATTATAACCTCTAATTTTTCCTGCCAACATAGCTATCCATGTACCCTCTACATCACTTGCTAAAGACATGGGTATGTGCGTGTGTGTGCTTGTGTATTTGTGGTGCGGTGTGGTGAGAGGGGGGTTTTGACCCATATCTGGCAGTGCTTCCCCAGGCTTGTCCTTGGATGAGTCCTGGTTTGGGGGAATCCAGACCTCCCATTTGCAAAGCACACGCTCAGTTTATGAAGCTCTCTCCTGCCCCCTAGAGATTTTTTAAAATTCCATATCCATTAGTAAGTTTCCATCAGGAAAAATGTTAACTCACTCTCCATTTTCTTTTTAACTTTTCCCCTGGGGCTGAAGAAACGGTACAGCCCATAGGACACCTGCCTGGCACACAGCTGACCCAAACTTGAAAAAAAACCACCCTTTTTCCCTGATTAGTTCCATCATCTATTTTAACTACTTTAGTTTCAAGTTTCTTCTGTTATATTTCCATTTGCCTTAATGGTAAGATCTACATTTATCATGTATCATCTCTTTATCATGCTTAAATTTCAAGGTCAGATGATGCAAGATTATTTCACCATCTACAGTATGACTTCAAATCCAAAATGCTGACCTCGCCTCCAGAATTGTCTCACAAGCTCCTACTACATCTTCTCTCGAACATTCCCCTTAGGGAGTCTTCAGAGGCTTGAGATGTTACCTTGCCTCCATCTCATCCCCCAAAGTGAATAACTGCAGCTTCTGTCATGTCCCTATGACCAGCACCACCATGGTTGGTGGTTAAGAATACTACAGATCTATTTGAAAAGACTGAGTTTTTGGATGGACTAAAGATGCATTATATTATATTCCTTAAAAACTCACTAAGAAACACAGTTTAAGAATTATTAGGATACAGTCATGAAAAAAAGGCCAGTGGTTTCTCTCCTCTCTCACAAGCATTGGACTGGAAAGGAAGAGTATTGGAAAACAAATCAATTAAGAAAAAAAAGTAACCATCAATGCTCCGGGCTCAGTCCTTTGCAAGACAACAAACACACATACACACGGTAACACATAAATACGAAGACCAAAAAATTATTTTTATTGAATAAAGTTCATTCAGGGCTTAAACAGATCATCAGGATACTTTAGATTATAACAGCTGAGAGATCACTAGCTGGTTGCAAGGAAGAAGAGAGTTTGTAGTTTCAATGTAGAAAAACAAAATCTAATCGCTACAGATGTACAATTCCTGCCATTTCGCCATGTTTCTTGTTTAGTGGATTTCAGCCCTTTTTTTTAACCAAGAAGCAATAGTGAGACTCACTGTTTATACTATTAATTATACTATACTAAGAAAAAAGTTTGAAAAAATTATGAGACAGAAGCATAAATACAATATAAAAAAGACAAGATTTTAAAATTGCGTTGTAGGAATATTAACTAAGTAAGTGGAAAAGATACATTAAAACCAACAGAGTGTTACACAAGTTCCAAAGAATTCATAAGGCAGACCAAACTGTGCTAGTTAAGGAAACGGGTCTGTTTTTTGGGGTGAGTGTACAGATGGAGGCCACCACAAAGAGATGCCAATGGCGGCCCATGGTCCTTCCAGGTCTCAGTGACGTGGCAGCTGCTGGGGTCCCCGGCTTAGGCCTTCTCCAGAGACTTGTAGTATTCCACCAGCACCGTCCAGGCCTTGGGTGCCATGAAACCTTCTGGAGGTTTCTGCCCCTCTCGGGCAAGCTTGCGCATCCGTGTTCCAGAAATAAACTCAAAGTCTTCATGGCTGAACGAGAAAAAAAATTAAATTATTTCACAACTTGAGAAAGTCAGAGTAAAGGGTTGGAGAGACAGTACAAGGGGTTAAGTCACTTGGCTTGGTTATGGCTGACCCAAGTTTGATCCCTGGTACCATGTATCCCTGACCACCAACTGGGTATGGCTCCAAAGTCAATAAAATAAAAATAAATTTTAAAAAAATTTAAGTTCCTTCTCTCCATGGTAGACAAGCTAAACAGGGAAAAAAAAATTAATCAAGAATGTGGTCCCAGCCGGGTATCCTAGAGGAAAGGGCAGTTCAGATAGAGAAGGGAGCACCAAATAAAGGATGTTTGGAGGATCCTCCCAGGAGGGGAGATGCATGTCGAAAGTAGACTATGGACTGAACATGTTTGCCACTCAATGCCTCTTTTGCAGACCACAACACCCAAAAGGAGAGAGAGAACACAGGGGATCGCCCTGCCACAGAGACAGGGGGGATGGGGGGATGGGGGTGGGAGGGATATTATCCATGGTGGTGGAGAGTGGGCACTGGTGGAGGGATGGGTATCTGATCATTGTATAATTGAAACCAAAGCACAAAAAATTGTAAATCTACAACTGTAAAAAAAAAATAAAATAAAATAAAGGGAAAAAAAAAAAAGAATGTGGTTCCCCTTCAAGCCCGAAGACAGTGGTTGGATATAGTAAAGAAACTCAATGAAATGAATGCTTCACCAAGAATACTTATCTGGCTAAACTCTCACTCAAACTTGAAGGAAGGATACACACTTTTATTGATAAATAACAGCTCAGGAACTTCATAGAATCAAAACCAAACCTGAATGAAGGACTAAAGGGGCTACTGTAAGATAAAAAAGCCCTACAAGCACAACAAACCCCTACAGAAAGATGACACAAGACCCCATGATGATAATCTCTCTCAATGTCAGTGGTCTAAATGTACCAATTAAGGCACACAGAGTGACAGAATGGATTCAGAAACTGAACCCAACATTCTGCTGCCTACAAGAAATACATCTGAACAGTCAAAGCAAACATAGACTCAAAATCAAAGTATGGAAAACAATCCTGCAAGCAAACAACTCCCTCAAAAAAGCTGGGGTGGCCTTACTAGTATCCGACAACATAGATTTCAGGTTGAAAAAGATCAGAAAGGTCAGTGAAGGATATTGAGCTCCCATTTGACCCAGCAATAGCACTTCTGGGAGTATATCCTGGAGAGCCAAAAAAATATAGTAGAATGACATCTGCGCTTGTATGTTCATTGCTGCACTGTTTACAATAGCTAAAATCTGGAAAAAAACCCAAGTGCCTAAGAACAGATGACTAAATAAAGAAACTGGTACATTTATACAATGGAATACTATGCAGCTGTTGGAAAAGATGGAGTCATGAAGTTTGCATATAAGTGGATCAACATGGAAAATATCATCTTAAGTGAAATGAGTCAGAGAGGGACAGACAGAGAAAGATTGCACTCATCTGTGGAATATAAGGTATCAGAATGGGAGACTAACACCCAAAAATAGTAGAGATAAGGACCAGGAGGTTTACTCCAAGACTTGGGAGCCAGCCTCAAATGCTGGGGGAAAAGGCAGCTCAGATAGAGCAGGGAACACCAAGTAAAGGGTGTTTGGAGGACCTGCTCGGGTTGGGAGATGCGTGCCAAATGTAGGCTATAGAGCAAACACAATGGCCACTTAGTGCCTCTCTTGCAAACTACAACACCCAGAAGGAAAGAGAGAGCAAAAGGGACTGCCCTGCCACAGAGGTGGGGTGGGGTGTGGGGGATACTGGGATCATTGGTGGTAGAAAATGGGCACCAGTGGAGGGATGGGTACTTGATCACTGTATGACGAAATGTAAACACAAAAGTTTCTAAGTCTATAACTGTACCTCATGGTGATTCACTAATTAAAAAACAAACAAACAAACAAACAAAAAGAAAGTGGTTCAGTGGAAGGGTGAATACCAACTTGGTTTCCAATGTGTCACTGAGCAAAAAAGAAAATAAAAGTAACCAATCACACTTGGAGAACTATAGGTTTTCAGAAATAAGAAAATATCGTTTTAGTGGACATTTTTAAACTGTAATCAATATAGATTTACATGCGGCTGTAAGAAACACCATCCATCAATCTGTTGGCGCCTTCCCCCTTTCCCCAACAGCGTTTTCAACAGAGGTGGGTCTCTCGGGGTCCTCAGTGGTGCTGGCATCCAAGTCAGAGCTACACTCAGGCTGCTCACCCACCCGAGCCCCATCTGTGGCCCCCAGTAATGAGAACTCTAGTACAAGTGCCCGTGAGACGGCTCCGGGGTAGCACCCGACATGGACAAGGGCCAGAGCCTGAATCCCAGCACCCCTCAGGGCTGCCCCCACCAGCACCACCGCTGGGGGTAGTCAGAGTGCACTGCACTGCAGCTCCACAGTTGGACCCGATGCTGAATCAGCTGGTCCAGTTGGCTGAGTATCCCCGGGAGCTGCCCCTCAGGACCTGAGGGCCCTCAAATAATATTTAAAAACTTCTGAGCCACTCCTGGTAGTGTTCAGGGCCAACTCCTGACTCTTCACTGAGAGATCACTCCTGTTGCTGTTGTGGTTTGGGGGGACATAGGGGTGCTGGGGATGGACCCCCAATGGTGCATACAAGGCAAGAATTATTGCTTGTATTATTGCTGTGAGTCCCTTCCCACTCTCAATTTTTTTTTTTTTTTTAGAAATAAAATAAGCTCTGGACTCTACTTGTGAGCCACCGGGAAACTTCCAGACACAGGAAAGATCATTGCAGAAAGGATCTTGGGTTTTTAACTACAAAGCAATGCAGAGGGGGTTAGCTAGTCACACCCTAGTGTACCCCAGTCTCCCACAGTACCTGACGAAGGAGACATGCGTGTTATCTCCTGCCTTCCAGTCTCGAATTCGGACTCTCCATAGCTGACAGAGGCTGTGTTTGTTCTTCACAAAGAGGGCAAGGTGGAAGGAGGGGGGAGGGAAGCACACAGCATGTGGCCAACTCTGGGGTCCTGTGAGGCCAGCACGCCACCCCGGGGGGCACGCGGACCCCATGTGGCTGCATTCTGACTTGCCACAAAGGATTGGGACTCTTGGCCACTTGCTGAAGCTGTTCCTTCTTTACTCCCATCTGCCGATTCAGGCCACACGTGGCCGTCAGAGGCCTGGCAGCAGCTGCCCGGGTAAAGAGCTGGGTCAGACGACCCTGCCCGCCCGCTTTTTGAAGATTCGGATGCAATTAGACCCATTTCCAAAGAATGCTAACAGGACGATAAGCAGAAACGCAAATGGTTTCTTCTCCCACGGCACTAAAAATAGTGGCAATTTAGAAGCAAGTCTAAGAAAACTATTTTGGGTCTAAATTAACTTGAAGGAAGCTTATGTACAACACAACTTCATCAGAATGTGGAGAATCCTTCGGAATAAGATTAAAAAAACATCTCTTCAAAATCAGTCACTCGTAGCTTTCTTGCCAGCAGTTTAAAAAAAAAAAAAAGAAAAACCATGATCTGGCATATGTGAAAAAATGTAACAATTATTTTTTCAAACTAGTGCCCGACCAAAATACATGGAAAATCTCATTATCGAGCATCTAATGAGCCCCAATCCTGAATTCATACTGTGTTTCTTCCAGCACCCTGCTCTGATCAATACCAAACAGTGGGAGAGCAAGTTGCAGGCACGCAAAGAATGAATTTCCAGGGTTGCCCTTAAGTGTCTTTTTTCCCCTTTTCTTTGCTTTTTAAATTTTTATAAGTGAAACACCATGAGGTACAATGGTCGGCTTACAAATTTTTGTGCTTGGGTTTGAATTATACAATGATCCAATGATCGAGTACCCATCCCTCCACCAGTGCCCATTCTCCACCACCACGGATCCCAGGATCCCTCCCACCCCCACCCTCCCTCTGTGGCAGGGCATTCCCTTTTGTTCTCTCTCTTGTTTTGGGTGCTGTGGTTTGCAAAAGAGGCGTTGAGTGGCAATCATGTTCGGTCTATAGTCTACTTTTTAAAAAAATTTATTCTTATGAAGTTGTTCATGATTGATTACATTCAGTATCTGACCACCAATCCCACCACCGCTGTACTTCCCACCACAACTAGCCCCTGAAGTGTCTTACAGACAATTCTGCTGTCTTCACCGAAGAGGGTCTCGGAATATGTCACCTAGCACCGTGTGGAAATAGAGGCCTCACTGCGTGCCAAGGGCCAGACTTCAAATGCTCTATAACGAACCTGACAGACAATACTTGGGGTTTCCGTGCTTGCCCAGGGCGGGCAGATACCTGTGCCTCAGAGGGGCACAACAATGTCCATCTGCTTCTTACAGAAGCCCCTGATAACTAATCCAGAACAGGCCCTGATTGTCAGGACATGAATCCCAGGAGCCCTGAGGTCCATCGTGCCTGTGACCTGCCCCCTCCTCAGTATGGTACGAGGCACAGAGCGGGCTCCAGCTGCTCAAATTCCTCCGGAGGCCTGCAGCCAGGCCAGGGGTCCGGGGACACAAGTGTGTGTTCCCCCATCCGCCTCAGCTCACGGTCAGGCAGAACCAGAGCCAAAGCCACTGTCGCATCCCGTAGGACGCCACTGCCATGGAAATAGCTGTGTTCCTTTAGCCGCGAGCTCTTTGCTCCTGACTTTCAAACACACGTGGCTCTTGTTTACCCAGAAACCAGAACCTCTAGAGCCCTCAACGCCCCAGCTCCAAATAGGAACGAAACAAGCCTCTGAAGTCATGTTAAAAAAAAAATAGCCCGTTTTTGACTTTTAATAAGGAAATAATTTAAAAGGACCACTGATAAAAGTCTCCAAACAGGCCAATATTGTTATGAACCACTGAGGCTTCGCAGCAGAGGTGACAAAGTCAAGGAAGCATGACCATGGGCATGTCATAAAGGAAGAAACACTGATCTTATTATTGAAAGTAATTCTCACTCCTACCCTCCATGATGCCCAAAGGGGACGAAAAAGAAACAAAAATGAAAAGC